GGAGGCCCTGGCACAGGTTGCCCAAAGAAGCTGTGGCTGCCCCTTGGATGCCTGGAAGTGTCCAAGGCCGGGCTGGATGGGGCTTGGAGCACCCTGGGCTGGTGGAAGGTGTCCCTGCCTATGGCAGGGGGTTGGAATGGGATGGGCATTAAGGTCCCTTCCAAACCAAACCGTTCTGGGATCCTGTGATGCTACTGTGTCCAGCTTTGGGGGCCTCATGACAAGAAGGATAGTGAGGGGCTGGAATGTGTCCAGGGAAGGGAACAGAGCTGGGGAAGGGGCTGGAGCAGCAGGAGCAGCTGAGGGAGCTGGAGGGGCTCAGCCTGGAGAAAAGGAGGCTCAGGGGGGACCTTCTGGCTCTGCAACTCCCTGACAGGAGGGGGGAGCTGGGGGGGGGTGGTTCGGGCTCTGCTCCCAGGGAACAAGGGACAGGAGGAGAGGGAACGGCCCCAAGCTGTGCCAGGAGAAGTTTAGGTTGGATACAGGTAATTCAAACGATAAAGGACACCAGGAGAGAGCCCAGCTCTCATTCATGGGCAGAGCTGCTAAAAAGGCTAATTAACAATTCACATCCCAGCACTGCAGGCGCTGCCCACGGGCACCTCCCGGGCACCCCCCGACCCACCTTTGTAACCTGGGCGCCCAATTTTCACAAATTTCTTCACTTCCACTTTGACCTTCTCTGGGGCAGGTTGGGCAGGGGCTTCCTTGGCTTCCTTGGCAGCTCGCCGGGCCCTGGGGAGGAATTTCAAAATGTAAGGGTTATTACCTGCACTTGCTTCCAAAGGAATCATGCCTGGAACACCTACTTCCCTTCCCCAGTGTATCCATCCTTCCCCTCCCCAAAGGTTGTCACTCAATTACCCACCCCGAGATGATCTTGGTGCCTGACTCCACAAATGCATTTGAGAAGACTTAATTCTTGACATTAAAAAGAACAAACCCCACAGTTAAAGGAAAGTAAACTGGATTCCTTAAAATAAAACCTATAAACTTCTCCCAACCTGTATTGACAAATCCAGATCACAGAATCCTGGAATATCCCGAGTTGGAAGGGAGCCACAAGGATCATCCAGTCCAACTCCTGGCCCTGCACAGACACCCCAACAATCCCACCCCGTCCCTCAGAGCATTGTCCAAATGCCCCTGAGCTCTGGCAGGCAGAGTTCTTTTTACTAGACTCAGAAAATTTGCTTTTAAAACTCTTTCTCCCTTTTCCTTCAGAAATCCCACAACTGGGTTTGAACTTTTGAGCTTGAAATTGAGATTTTCAGCCTCATTTTTGGAGCAGATCCAGGCTGAACCTCCTGGCTGGTGCCAGGCTGCTCAGCAGGAATCAGAGAACATTCAGGACCTGTGTGCTGTTGTGTAACGCAGTTAAGGGTTGGCAGATGAACACAATCATCATTTTAATGGGGTTAAAAGTTCATAGATGAACACAATCATCATTTTAAAGTGCTTCAGTAATTAATAAAGTTATGGTAGAGAATGACTTACAAATTGGTCTGATGCTTCTTCCCCTGTGTATGTGCTAAGTAACTCCCCTGAAATAAAAACCAAGGTAGAAGAAAGTTAAATGAAGGCAGGACTGAAAGATTCTTGTCTCAGAGAGGCTGTGTCTCACACTGACAAGGGTGTCTGCACCCTCAGCACAAGGATTCTCACTGAGAGCACACTGCTCTCAACTGCTCAGCTGTCAGGTTTAACACACAAGGGCCTGCCCATCCCTCATCTCTCAGCAGTCACAGCCCAGTCAAAGGCACCTGGTTATCCAGGTACTGTTATCCCAAAATTCCTGCTGCTGGGATCAGGCCAGGCAGGTGCTCCCTCACCTCGTTGTTGTGCAGTGTCAGGCAGAGCTTGCACTCGTAGGAGCCCAAGTGATTTTTCATAAAATAGGGGTCCTGGGAAGAGAATGATTGACAAGTTACAAGGAAAATCCATGGCAAAGCAACAGGATAACCAAAACACTGCAGAGTTCTGCACAGGAAGAACTGGTCAGGCACTGCCCAGGCTCCCCAGGGCAGTGGGCACGGCCCCAAGGCTGCCAGAGCTCAAGGAGTGTTTGGACAACACTCTCAGGCACAGGGTGGGATTGTTGGGGTGTCCTGGGCAGGGCCAGGGGTTGGAATTGATGATCCCTGTGGGTCCCTTCCAACTCTGGTTATTTTATGGTTCTATGATTCCACAACTGAGTTCAGAATTTAAATCAACAACATAACAGAGCTTTAGGATGATGGAAACAGAGAGACTCAACAGCAGCTCTGTGCACCAGTGACAGTTCCCAACTGCACCGAGAAATGGCAAAGTACAAACCGGTCCCGAGGAGACTGGAAATAACTTGAATACAAAGTGCTGGCACCTCCCTGTCAGCCCCATCCCAAATGTTCCTCATTCAAACCCCACATTCCCAGAGACACAAGTATTTAAACTCAATCCATCACTCAGAGAAGAGAAGGCTCTGGGGAGACCTAGGAGCCCCTTCCAGGGCCTAAAGGGGCTCCAGGAGAGCTGGAGAGGGACTGGGGACAAGGGATGAAGGGACAGGATAAGGGGGAATGGCTTCCCAGTGCCAGAGGGCAGGGAGAGATGGGATATTGGGCAGGAATTGTTGGCTGTGAGGGTGGGGAGGCCCTGGCACAGGTTGCCCAGAGCAGCTGTGGCTGCCCCATCCCTGGGAGTGTCCAAGGCCAGGTTGGACGGGGCTTGGAGCACCCTGGGCTGGTGGGAGCTGTGTCCCCACCTTGTTGATGTCGATGGTCTCCAGGGCCAGCTGCCGCAGCCGCTCCCGCCGGTCCCGGTTACTCTCCGAGGCCGAGGCGACGCCTCCGCTGCCCGTCTTCCCTCCAGGGCGGTGCTGGAAATCCATGGCGGGGAATTCTGTGCTTCAGCCCCTCTGGAGAAAGAGAGAGTCTGCACAAAAGGAGAAGCACCGTGAGTGGTAACTGGACCTGAGGTCACAGAGTATTCAGCCCTGTCGGTGAGGACACGGGACGAGAATCTCAAAGATGCCATGGGAACATGCCATGGGATGAGATTCCACGTGGAGAGTGTCTGGCACCACCCACTCAGTAAACACAAGTAAAATGATCCAGAAAAACAACCCCCAGAGCCCTTTCCATCTCCTCAGACACTTCCACACACAGACATATCCCCCAAGCCCAGCTGGGCCCCCAGCTGGGCTGAGAGACCCCCCAAAAAGGAGCCTCCCACCCTCACCCGATGGCACAAACAACCCCAGAACCTCCCCCCTCTCTGCCAAGGTTTGGGGCTCCTCCACCAGCCCCCCAAAGCTCCAGAGCCACCCCACACAGCAAAATCCCCCTGAGAGAGTCTGGGGGAGCCCCCATCTCCCCCAGCAGGGTCAGGGACTCTGTGCAGTGTCCCCAACCCCCAGGTGAGGTCCTGGAGTGCCCCCTGCCCTCAGTAAGGCCAGAGCCCCCCCCACACCTCCCACACCACAGAGTGGTCTGTTAGAACACCCCCAACACCCTCAGCAGGCCAAAGCCCCCCAGAACATGCTCAGCCCCTCAGCAAGGGTCAAAGCCCTCCCATCAGACACCCCTCAGGAAGGATCAGTCTCCCCTCACACACGTCCTGCCCCTCAGCAGTGGTCAAACCCCCCCATTAAGCACCCCCCAGCACCTCAACAAGGGTCAAAGGACCCCTCAGACACACCCCAGCAAACATCAAAGTGCCAAAAACACCCCCAGCCCCCTAGAAACAGTGAAAACCTCCCCTCAAAACACTCCCAGACCCTCAGTGAGGATCAAGGCCCCCAAACATCCCCAGTAAGGGTCAACCCCATAAACGTGCCCCCCAACACCTCAGCAACTGTTAAAGGCACCCTCAAATACTCCCCAGTGCCTCAGCAAAAAGCCCCCCCCAGATACCCACTAACTCCTCAGCGAGGATCGAGCCCCCTCAAGCACCCCCAGTAAGGGTCAAACCCACCCCTCAAACACCCCCCAACACCTCACCAAGGGTCACTTCCCCCACATCCCCCCCTCAACCCCTCAGCAAGGACCAGCCCCCCCAAACATTCCCAGCAAGGGCAACTCCAACCTCCCCCAGCATACCACACACCCCAGTGAAGAACAAACCCCCTCAAACCCCTCCAGGCCCGAGCAAGAACAACACCCTCAAACACCCCTCACCAAGGATCAGCCCCCCCCAAACATCCCCCAAGCCCCCAGCGAGGATCACCCCCCCCAAATACCCTCAACCCTCCAAACACCCCAAGCACCCCCACCCCTTTAGTGAGGGCCAAAGTCCCCCAAACACCCCCAGTACCTCACCAAGGGTCATCCCCCCATGGGAACCTCCAGATCCCCTCGGAACCCCCAAAGTCCCCTCAGGACCCTCCTGGACACCCTAAATCCTCTCATGATCCCCTAAGCCCTCTGAGGACCCCCCAAGTCCCCTCAGGACCTTCCAGATCCCCTCACAACCCCATAAATCCCCTCAGGACCCCCCGGATCCCCTCAGAACGCCCCAAATCCCCTTACGCCCCCTCATATACACTCAGGACCCCCTTCACCCCCTCACAATCCCCCAGGTCCCCTCATGACCCCTCTCACCCCCTTAGGATCTCCCAAATCTCCTCAGAACCCCCCAAGTCGCCTCAGAATGCCCCAAATTCCCTCACAAACCCCTCAGATCCCTTAAGGAACCCCCCCATGTCTCCCAGGACCCCCTAAATCCCCTCACGACCCCCTAAATCCCCTCAGGATCCCCCAAGTCCTCTCAGAACCCCCTCGGATCCCCTCAAGACCCCCCGGACTCCCTCACGACCCCCCCGGATCCCCTCAGTTCTCCCCAGATCCCCTCAAGACCACCCGGATCCCCTCAAAACCCCCCGGACCCCCTCAGGACCCCCTGGATCCCCTCAGTTCCCCCCAGATGCCCTCACAAACCCGGGTCCGTCCCGGCTCGCGCGGCCCCGCTCCCGCCCCTCTCCCCGCGCGCCTGCGCGTTCCCGCCGCGAGCCCTTCCGGGAGCGCGCGAGCGCTTCCCGGGCACCGCCCGGGCCCTTCCGGGAACAGCGGGAACAGCGGGATCGGCGGGATCGGCAGGAACACCGGGATCGGCGGGAACACCGGGATCGGCGGGAACACCGGGATCGGCGGGATCGGCAGGAACACCGGGATCGGCGGGAACACCGGGATCGGCGGGCCGGGGGCCGGGGGGCTCCGGCCATGCGCTACAACGAGCGCGAGCTGCTGTCCCTGGCCCGGCAGCCCGCGGAGAAGGCGGCCGAGATCCGCATGAGCGTGCCCAAGAAAGGCAGCGGTGAGCGGGGACAGAGGGAGGGACGGCGCGGTCCCGGCTGCGGAATCGGGGGTGGAGAGCGACCGGGAGAACTGGGTGATGTTGGGGGTGCCGGGGAATCCGGGCTGGGAAACTGGGGGCAGGAGCAGGGCAGGACCTGGGAACGGGGAGGGGGGATAGGACTGGCTGTGCAGGACTGGGAGGATTGGGAATGGACTGGGAAACTGGGATTAGGATCAGGGCGGGACTGAGAGTACTGGGAGTGAGGACGGGGAGTTAGGATTGGCTGTGTTGGGTGGGCAGGACTGGGAGGACTGGGGAATTGTGACTGGGAAAGTGGGGATATGACCAGGTCAGGACTGGGAGAGCTGGGAGCGGGAATAGGACTGGCTGTGTTGGGTGGGCAGGACTGGGGGTACTGGAGAATCTGGACTGGGAAACTGGGAGTAGGAGCAGGGCAGGACTGGGAGAACTGGGCAGGAACTGGGGTTAGGACTGGCTGGGTTGGGTGGGCAGCAATGGGGGGACTGGGAGGACTGGGAAGAACTGGGTGGGGAGAGGGGTTGGACTGTGCTGGGTGGGCAGGACTGGGGCTACTGGAGAATCACAAGTGGGAAACTGGGGGTAGGACCAGGGCAGGACTGGGAGAACTGGCAGGATTGGGATGGGCAGGTGAAAGGGGGGCAGGACTGGGGATCCCCAACTGGAGAATCCGGGTTGGAGTTGCTGAGGGATGGGGCTGGAGAGGGACTGGGAGAACTGAACGCTTTGGGAGTACTGGAGAATCTGGACTGGGAAACTGGGAGTAGGAGGAGGGCAGGACTGGGAGAACTGGGCAGGAACTAGGGTTAGGTCTGGCTAGGTTGGGCAGGATTGGAGGCACTGGAGAATTAGGGCTGGGAAAGTGGAGGTTGGACATGGGAAGGATTGGGAGCACTGGGTGGAGAGGTACTGGGAGAACTGGGTGCCCTGGGGAGGCAGGAGTGGGGGTACTGGGGAATCAGGACTGGGAAACTGCCTGTAGGACCAGGACAGGACTGGGAGAACTGGCGGGATTGGAGGGGGGGCAGGTGGAGATGGAGCAGGACTGGGGGTACCTGGGAGTCCCCCACTGGAGAATCAGAGCCCCCCCAGATCCCCTCAAGACCCCCCAGACCCCCTCAGTTGTGGGATTGTGAGGGACAGGGCTGGACTGGAGGAGAGGGACTGGGAGAACTGGGTGGCCTGGGGATGCAGGACTGGAGGTACTGGATAATCAGGACAGCACTTGGAGTACTGGGTGAGGAGGGACTGGGAGAACTGGGTGGCCTGGGCAGGAGGACTGGGGGTACTGGAGAATCCAGGCTGGGAAAGTGGGTAAAGGTCTGGGAGAACTGGGCAGGAACTGGGGAGTTAGGACTGGCTGTGTTGGGTGGGCAGCACTGGGGCTTACTGGGAGGGCTGGTGGTCGGACTGGGGAGCTCAGGTGGTGGGATCCAGTGTGGGACTGGAGGGAGGTTCTGGGGCTGGGCTGGACCAATGGGGTGTACTGGGGACAGCGAGGCCTGGAGAGGCTCTTTCCTGAAATCTCCCAGCAAATTCCCTCTCAGGGCAGCACTGGAGCATGAAGACCCTCCCTTGTCCTGGGCCTTCCTTCCCCCAGGATCTGCTGGAGTTTGTCCCTCAGAGGTGACATCTGTGCTGGGGCTCCCAGGATTTGGAGCTCTCCCAGGATTTGGAGCTCTCCCAGGATTTGGAGCTCTCCCAGGCCGGGTCAGTGGGCTCTGTCTGCCCCGGAGCCACTGGAGAAGCTGCTCATGACTTTGTCACCCTGAGGCTGTTCGTGACTTTGTCACCCTGAGGCTCCTGTTTGCAGGAGCAGCCTCAGGGTGGGTGCAGAGGGTGTCCTTGGTTGGTGGGATCTGTGCCATGCTGGGCACTGGCAGGGCTGGATGGGGCTTCCCTCTGCCCCCTCTCTGTCCCAGCTGCCTCAGCACTTCCTTTTTCTTTATTTTTATTTTTAATTTTTATTTTATTTTTAATTTGATTTTTATTTCTAGTCTTATTTCTATTTTCTATTTTTTATTTTATATTTTATATTTTAATTTTATTTTCATTTTTGTTTTTATTTTTATTTCATATTATAATTTTCTATTTTTATTTTATTTTTTTTAATTTTATTTTTATTTTGGTTTTCTTTATATCTTTTTTAATTTTAACTTTTTATTTTATTTTTATGTTTTAATTTGTTTTTATTTTAATCTTTTTTATTTTATTTTTATTTCTATTTTTAATTTCTTATCTTATTTTTTATTTTTGTTTCTATTTCTGATTTATTTTTATTTTATTTTTATTTCTATTTTTGTTTTATTTTATTTTATTGTATTTTATTATATTTTATTTTATTTTAATTGAACTGTCCTTGCAGTGCTGAAAAAGCGCCTGGTGAAGCTCGTGGTGAACTTTCTCTTCTACTTCAGGACAGACGAGGCCGAGGTATGGAATGTGCTCCTGGGTGGGGTTTGCTTCTCTCCCTCTTCCCTCTTTTTCCTGTGGATTGACTGTGTGGGCTGGGAAAACGGTGCTGGGACAGAGTGTCCACCTTTCCTCTTCATCAGCTCAGCAGGGCTGCGGGAGAGCTGGAGAGGGACCTGGGACAAGGACACAGGGAATGGCTTCCCGCTGCCAGAGGGCAGGGAGAGATGGGATATTGGGAAGGAATTCTTCCCTGTGAGGGTGATGAGGAGCTGGGATGGAATTCCCAGAGCAGCTGTGGCTGCCCCATCCCTGGGAGTGTCCAAGGCCAGGTTGGATCAAAGGAGCAACCCGGGCTAGTGGGAGGTGTCCCTGCCCATGGCAGGGGTGGGACTGGACGGGCTCTGAGGTCCTTCCAGCCCAAATGTTCCATGGAATGCTCAGTAAAGGAGGTTTTCAGGCCCTTCCCTGCTGCCTGATTTGTGTCTCTCACATTGTGTCGCTTGGACAAGAATTCCCAGGGGGTTGCTCCTGTTCCAGGCCATGTCACCCCCTGTCCCTGCTCAGCACAGTGTCTGTGTGTCCCTCCAGTGTCTGTGTGTCCCTCCGGAGCTGTTGCAGCTCTCCACATCCCCCTCCAGCCCTGCCCCGGCACAGGGGGGCTTGTTGTGTGTCCCAGGAACAGTTCAGTTGTGTCTCAGCTACTGGGCAAGAAAGTTCTTTGCTGCCTTTACCTCAGAAATGAGCAGTGAAAGCCAGGCTGACTCTGAGCCGGTGGAGGTGATTAACACCTAATTAACACGTGCAAAGTGCTGCGAGACCGGCACTGGAGACACAGCAGCAGCACAAAAAGGTGGTTGTGGGGTTGTGGAACATCCTGCAGTCAGACCAAATCATTGCAGAGTAGCACCAGGGTGTCAAACTTGCCTAAAAGGCTCCAAGGAGACGCTGTGGGTTCAGTGCTGGGGGCACTGTGGGTTAAACCCTCTCTCCATGTGTTTTCCAGCCCATTGGAGCTCTGCTGCTGGAGCACTGCAGGATCACCAAAGAGGAGGAGAACGTCTTCTCCATCAGTGAGTGCTGCCTGGGCACCATCCCTGGGCCTTTCCCCCGGGGCAGAGGGAGAGGAGGTGTTTTGCTGCTCAGTTCCTGCTGCTCTGGTGGCAGTGGGGTCAGCTCAGCCCTACCCTCCTCTGTAGGTCAGTGCCCCTCACCCTTCCCCTCCTCTGTGGGGTCAGTGCCCCTCAAGTGGGGTTTGATCTCTTCTCCCAGGGAACAAGCGACAGGACAAGAGGAAACAGCCTCAAGTTGTGCCAGGGGAAGTTTAGGTAGAATATTAGGGAAAATTTCTTCCTGGAAAGGGTGTTCAGGCTGCCCAGGGCAGTGGTGGAGCCACCATCCCTGGAAGTGTCCAAAACCCACGTGAATGTGGCACCTGAGGACGTGGTTTCGTGGTGCACACGGTGGTGCTGAGTTGATGGTTGGACTTGATGATCTTGAAGATCTTTTCCAACCTTAGCAATTCCATGGTTCTATCCCTCAGCTGCCAGCTGTCCCTCCCTGTGCCACGTCCCCTCCTGAGCACAGGGCCATTCCAGGGATCCTCCACGGCTGGAGCAGTGTGGGCTTTGCTTGGCTGCATGTACAGAGCAGCCAGAAATCCCTCCTGGGGGGAGTTTTATGACAGATCTCTGCTGTGCTGCTGCATTTTGTCCACCCCCCCCCCAGTGGGCTCAGATAAAGCCTCCAGGGGCTGCTCCAGCCCGTGCTCCTGCCCTGTCCGTGTCCTTGTGGCGATACCGCGGCTCCAGCTGGATCCGTGTCCCCCGGGAGAGCCTTTCATCCCACACGTGCTGACAACAACAGGATGTTCCTCCAAGGCCGTCCCTGTATCTCTTGGCCTGGCTGCAGGGCACAGCTGTGTCTCCTCCTGGTGCTCCCCCTGCCCCACAGGGCCCCCGAGCAGCCCCAGCACACCAGTCCCGCTGAGTCTGGGGGTTTGGGGCTGTCTGTGGAGAAGATTCCCAAGGGAGGGAAGGGTTAAACCCCCCAGCAGCCGTGTGGGGCTGGGGCTGTGCCACCCTTGGTGCAGCCTGACCCCCGAGGGTCTGTGCAGGGCAGAGCTCTGGGCTCAGGGATTGCTGAGATTCCTGGTTCTGTCCTGTACAGGACTGGAGTTGCACAGGGATTTGCACGGCACCACATTCCCAAAAGCCTCCAGCAAAGGCAGCTCAGGGTCCTCTCCCAGTGCAGTTCAACTCCTCAGGGCCTGCTCTGTGCCTGCATCCCAGGCCCTTCCTCAGGGCTCTTTTTCCCTTTGATTTAAATCCCTCCCAAGGAGCCTCAGGGAGTTCCAGTCCCAGATCTGCTCCAATTCAGTTGCTCCCATTTGGGAAGTTGCTCTTCCTGAGGTCTTTGGCTGCTGGAAGCTGACAAATGTCCCAGGCAGCTGCTCCAGGGCAGCCAGAGCAGGGAGGGAACAGGAGAGAGTCCAGGGCCAGGGTTCCCAACTCACTCCCAGCTCATCCTCATTAACAGAGGTGCTAATTGAGCCTGGCAGGGGAGCACAGGCTGTTCTCCTCGAGACTTTTCCTTGTTCCTGGCAGGTTTCATCGAGGAGCCAGAGAGAAAATACTGCTTCGAGTGTGCCAGTGAGGAGCAGTGCCAGGAGTGGGTCGAGGCCCTCAAACGAGCCAGGTGGGAAGAGCCCCCGGAGCGAGGCTGTGCCGGGAGCTTGGGGATCAGCCTGGGGGGAACCTGGGAGCACAGGGCTTGTCTCCCTCCAAACCAGCTTCCTCCCAGCCCTAAATAGCATCTGAAACTTGCCCACATCCTCCCGTGCTCAGCAGGGTCTGCTCCTGTCTTGCAGCTACGAGTTCCTGAGGAGGAGCCTGATCTTCTACCGGAATGAGATCCAGAAGATGACAGGGAAGGTGAGTGAGGCCCTCGGGGTAAGGTGGTGACTGATGGGTTTGGACAGGAGCTGGGGATTGTGGGTGTTGCTGCCAGTCCTGCACAGGCTGTTTGATCTGGAAGGAGATCCCAGATTCCATAGGGAACCATGGGCTCCACAGCCAGACCTGAGCACCTTCCTGTGCTCACTCAGACCCTCAGACACACACTGCCATGCTGGGAGGGGCAAGGATTGGAGCTGGACAGGCCTGCCTGGACTCCCAGCAGGTCTCTGGAAGAGTTCACCCCCAGCCCTGGCCAGATCTGTGGGTGGAGATGCTGCTCCCACCCTGCCAGGCCCCTCAGAGCATCCCTGCTCCGGTGACTCCCTGTGCCCACAGCCCCTGGTCACCTGCTGTGTCCTGTGTCCTCCCCAGGGGCTGCTGGACTTCCTGCACCCCTTTATCTGCCTCTCACTGCTGCCTCCCTGTGCTCTCCTGCAGGACCCCCTGGAGCAGTACGGGATCTCGGAGGAAGCCCGTTTCCAGTTGGGAAAACGCCAGCAGGAATTCCTTCACCTGGGCTGAACTGGCTCCTGAGTCCTGAGCAGTCTCCCCAGGGCCACCCCAACCCCTGGGAAGGACAGCAGAGCCCCACAGTGACCAAGGGATTCTTTTATTTATTACCTAAATCATTTTTTATTCTTTTTTTTTTTTAAGGGAAATCCTTGTACATTCCCACTTTCCCAGCTGTGGAGGCTGAACTGCTCCCTTGGGGTGGGAGCAGAACCCCCTGGCCCCTGGGATGAGCAGAGGCAGGGGCTGACAGAGCTCCCAGCACCTGATGTCCTCCAGGGCCTGGAGCTGCTGGAGCTCCAGCCCTTCTCCTGAAGGAGCTGCAGCTTTCCTGGCTCGGGATCTTCCCTCAGTCTCCAGGGAGCCCTTGGGGCTGTAAGAGGATGCTGTGATCACATCTCTGTGCTCCAGGGTTAACTCTCTCCTGTCCTGCCCTCTCCTGCTCCTGCAGAGCCATTCTGGGGGCTGATGGCTGAGCTGGTGAGCAGGGAGGACTGGGAATGCTCCCAGTAACACTGGGAATGCTCGGCCACAGCTCCAGCTGCCAGGCAGGAGCCATCTGCTCCCTTGTGCCGAGGCAGCAGCTCTGGGCAGCCACTGGCACTTGCCTTTGGGGGTTTTCTTTTCCCTTCCCTGGGCAGGGGTTGTGATTCCTGGGGGCTGGAGGGAGCCCTCACTCCAGCCCAGCCGAGGGAACAAAGGGAACAGTCAGGAACAGGGACAGGGAGGGATCCCTGTGGGCTGAGCACTGATCCAGCTTCCCAGGGAGGAAAGGCAGATGGAGAGGTTGGCAAAGGCAGGAGCTGCTCCCTCTGGCTGCAGGTTTGGGCTGCAGGGGGTGAGTTCAGCTGGGCAGGAACCCTCCAGGCCCTGAGCCACGGCTGCAGCCTCTCCCCACTTCGGGAGCATCCAAAGGGACAGACCAAACACTGTGCCAGGGCCACAGCCAGGGCTGCCAGGGAACCAAGGCTGCCTCCCTGGGGCTCCGGGGAGGAGGAGAGAAGGGTTTAGGAACAACATCCCCACCCCACCAGCTGTGGCTGCAGGAAGGAAAACTGCCCAGAGAGGAGGGAGGGAGGGAGGGAAGGAGAACACTCTCCACACCCAGGGCTGCAGGACACCCACATTCCTCACTGCCACAACAGCTCCCCTGGGACCAGCCCGGGAAAAACCCCAGGAAAAGCCCCTGGGAGGGTCTCAGGTGAGACTGTCAGAGGGTTGGTGGCAGAAGGAACAGGGAGGGGGCCTGAGCTTTGGGGGCTGCAGCTCTGAGTGTTGTTCCCCTCCAGGCTGGGTGGAGCAGCCTCTGAGCTGGGCTTGAAGGGAAGTTGTGGGTCTTTTCCTCCTTGGCTGGGAATAAATGCCCAAAGAAGAGCTTTAGTGGCCTGGTCTTCCCTCTTTACCTCTCACTGCTGGGTGCCAGGGCAGTGACAGCTGTCACTGAGGCTTTATTTTTAATCTCAAAGCCAAGATTTCTCCCTTTTTCCTTCCCCAGATCCTTCCTTTCCCTTGAATCAACCAAGGTGCTCCAAAAATCACCAAAATGAGCTGAGGGGCAGCTGCCCTGCAGGAGGAGCCAGGGCAGGGAGCAGGAGCCAGGGGGCATTTGCAGACAGATGGCAGCTCCAGGGGAAGCAGCAAGGAGGGATTAAAAGCAGGAACCCACAGGAGCTTGTGCTGGAGGGAATTGGTGTCCTCAGATGGCTTTGAAGTGCATTTTAATCCTTACCAGCTCTGCTTTCCCTCAGTGCAGGGGCACCCCTGGCCTGGAGGGGGGAACAGGGCAGCTTTTACTGTGAAAAGAGACTGGTCTGGTCACTGGGGAGAGGATGGATGAGAGGATTCCTGCTTGGCAGTGGGATAACTGGAGCTGGGATGAGCATGGGCTCCCCCCCAGCCCCGTCCCACAGCCCCTGCCCTCCAGCTCCAGGGGCAGAATAGCCACATCCAGGCTCAGCTCTGCATCAGTGGATCCTTCCATGTGCAGTTTAACCCAAACCTCGGGAATTCTGCCAAGCTTGGGGCGTTTTTAGCACACAGAGCTGTGTCCTGGTCCTGGAGCAGGACTGGGCAACCCTTCCCCACTGGCACTGTGCAGGAAAGAGGCATTTCAGGTGCTGTTCTGGGCACAAGAGCAAGCCCCGACACTTGCTCGAGAGGCACCAGTGACATTTTTTAACTGAATGTAAAACAAATGCTGTGAAGAGTTCCAGGGCCCAGGAGCTCAGACCCCCCACACGGGCTGGGGTTCAGCATTAAGGGGAGATGGTACTTGCAGACACATCAAAATCTGCATCAACTGCTGGTGATTTATAGACAATTGTTCATTTTTCACACTTGGAGTTTTGTATTTCAGTCAGAGCTGGGTCCAGGCTCCCCCAGAGCCATTTCTCTGTTGTCTGTTGCCAATAAATCTTGGTTTAATCCATGTGCTGCTCAGAGCTGTCCTAAGGCACAGAGCCTTGGCAGGGAGGGGGGGTTGCAGGGCTCTCACCTGAGCACCAGCAGCTCCAGGAGGTGTCCAGGTGGTCTCCTCCCCCTGGAGCAGGAACAGGGATGGGGGAAGGTGCCTCTCCAGGAGCCAGCTGGGAGTGGCTCCACAATGGGATTTGGAGAGGATTCTTCATGGAACAGTTTGGGTTGGAAGGGACCTCTGAAGGTCACCTGGTCCAGCTGATGGTTGGTGGTGGAGCCAAGGGGCAGCTCCGGTGACAAACATGTTTGGGATGAACTGGGTCAGGCCCAGCAGAGCCGGGAGCTGGGAGGGGCTGTGGGAATCCAGGCCTGGTCCTTGGTTTAAGGAATCGTGCAGTGAATTAACTCCCCTGGCTGATGGTGGGTTTATCCCACTGCTGACACTGCTGGCTAAACGGGAATGTCAGGGGGAGGGGTTGGGAATCAAGGGATCATGTAGGTTGGAAAGACCTCACTGAGTCCAACTGTCCCAGCACTGCCGAGGCCACCACTGACCCTGTCCCCAGCTGCCACATCCACACATTGTTTGAACACTCCCAGGGATGGTGACTCCACCACTGCCCTGTGCCAGTGCTCTACAACCTTTTCCACGAAGAAATATTCCCTAATATCCAATCTAAACCTCCCCTGGCACATCTTGAGGCCATTCCCTCTCCTGCTGTCCCTTGTTCCCTGGCAGCAGAGCCCAACCCCCCCAATCTCCCCCCTCCTGTCAGGGGGTTGCAGAGCCAGAAGGTCCCCCCTGAGCCTCCTTTTCTCCAGGCTGAGCCCCCCCAGCTCCCTCAGCTGCTCCTGCTGCTCCAGCCCCTTCCCAGCTCTGTTCCCTTCCCTGGACACGCTCCAGCACTTCCATGTCCTTGTCCTGAGGGGCCCAGAACAGCCCCTAGGCCCCCCCAGGCCCTCAGAGCTGAAGGTGGTCCCTAATCCAGGTCAGGGGGTCTCTGTCACTCCTGTGCCACCAGGTACCCAAATCCCATTTCCTGGCCCCAATTCCAGGCCCCTCTGATCCAGTGAAACTCCACAAGATCTCGGTGTATTAAAATACAGACACTTTAATATAAAGACAAAACTTCAAAGCATTGTTTCAATTACAAATCAAGGGAGAGACACAAGAAATTAAGTGGAGGGAGGGGAGCAAAAACTAACTCTTACATTGTGGAGAATTAGAAAGGCAGGGTGGAAATATATATATTATACATACATATATACACAGCAGAATTCACACTATTTCTATGGAGGAATGAAAGGAATGACAGGACAACTTACCAGTATAAAATAAAATAAAATAAAATTTAAAAAAATCCCAAAAAAAAGATAAATTAGGGGAAGTTTGAATTTTAAATAATTCAGTTTAATAGGCTAAATTATATAAACTAATTCCTATTCACTAGGAAACATCCCATATCACTGTCCTAAGAAAATGGGTTTTTCAAAAAATCCATTGGGAAATGGACTTTTATTAGTAGTTAAAAGTTTACTAATCAATTCCTGAGCAACAGCAACCTCATCCTCTACTGCTTTCCCCATCCAAGTCCCACTCAGCAAGGGCAGGCTCTCACTCCTAAAAAGTTTAAGTAGAACAGAGACCTAAAGAGTTGGGTTTTAATTGGAAAAAATCGATCACTTCAAAGATTAATAGGTTAAAAAAGCCAAGCAGGATGGACCAACCCATTCCACCTGTTCCTCAATAACTCCAGAGATGAGACCTTTTAAAAAACCATTTGACTGCACCAGAAAAGCAACCAGATGTACCTTGAGAAAACCAAAGGACCACAAACCTGAGAACTTCAGGGTCAGCATCTCCCAGCTTGGAATTTCAGGGTGTGATTTTGTTTTTACACCATAAAAAACTTAGGGAGCCTCTTCAGGGAGAAGGTCCCAAACAGCAAAAGTACTGCAGAAGTATCTCCCATTTTTTTTGTCTCGTGTTTAAACCCTGAAGTTCTCAAAAACAGCATCTTTTAATGCAATATTCAGTCTAAATAGATATTTATATATTTATAAAACATAAGGATAAATAAAATATGGCACAACAACATTTTGAAACTGGTTCTCCAGCTTTTAGTGAAAACCTGATCCACAAACTACGGAAATGGAGCAAAAAAAAGGAAGGGAAAAAAACCTCTTTAAACCCAGTAAAACTTCAAATCCTCGTTCAACGACTGCACATCTGTGCTCCCAAAACTCCAACTCCTGGGAGTTTTTCCTCAGTGCTGCAAAGATAGTTCACAAAAACACTGTCTGGTTTCTGCTCCCCAGAATGATTTTCCAACATTGATGGTTCACAGCCTTGTCCAATGTCCTCCCCTGCTCCAGAGGCACCAGAGCCTGGACCTCCCAGTCCTGACTCCTCTCTGTGCTTTTGGCTCAGGCAAAACAACAACAAAAGCAGAATTTTCCAGCACAGCCACTCATGGGAGTTGGGAGAACTCCAGGGTGGAGTTATCCAAGAAAAAATAACGTGGAGAATCCCCTGGGGAAAGGGTGAGTTTCAGCACCAGAATAAATGGGTTCTGCAGGACGTGACCAACCAAAGCCACCTTGGCATCAGCACCAGGACAAAGCACCCAATCCCAAGGGATTCCATGAGCAGCACCCACTGGCTCCGTGGGGACGGTGACCCCCATTCCCAGCTCAGCACCAGCTCCAGACCCGGCCAAGGAGGGAAGGAAGGGCCAGGATGGGAATCACCATCAGCAGCTGGAGAACAAACTCCCAGCACTGGGAATCTCCTCCAGCAATGGGCAGGAGCAGGGCAGGGAAGCAGGAGCATCCCAAGGGCACAGGTCCCACAGATCCCACGGGGGGGCCCTGGGGGAACTCGGGGAGCTGGAAGCACTTGCTGGCCCTGAGTGTGTGTCCCACCTGAGCCAGAGCCAGGAGTTCCCTCTGCACCCCTGGGACTCTCCCTGTCACCCAATCCCTCGGCTTTTCCTCTGCCTGGACTCTTCCAAGTGGAAAAACAGCGGGAAAGGGGAGCAGATGCTGCTTTCTAAACACACAGTCCCAGCAGGAACCAAACCACACAGGCCCTGGAGGCCACCTGTCCATGGCTCGTTATTCCACAAGAAAGGAAAATTCCACCTTCCCCTGGCAGGGGCAGCCCAGCAGTGCAGGAAGATCCAGGCTCTTCCAAGAGAAGGCTGGGATGAGATTGAACAGGATGAGCACAGGGGGTGAATCCACTGTGGTGTGGAGCACCCTTGGGTGGCTCTGCAGGAACAGGGGAGGCAGGTCTGGCTCCACCTCCTCCCACTCCCCT